ATTTCTGAGCTCCAGCAGTTCTACAGAAGCTTCTTGCATCATCATCATCATCATCATCATCATCATCATCATCATCATCATCATCATCATCATCATCACATCCTGCTGACTTTACTTCCTGTCTGCTTTGATTCAATGGAATCTGGATCCTAAAAACCAGTTTCACTGAAACATTTCAAAATAAAATATTTCCTTTAGATTTTATTTTGTTGACCTCAGATTAAACACTTTGTCATGAAGGAAATATTATCTGCTGGTAGGAAAGGTCAAAGGTCAAAGGTCAGAGCCGGACTGAGCTCAGGAGGATCTACATGTAGGTCCTGGTTTGTCGTCTGGGGGGACAGAGTGAGTCCTGGTCCACCTGAGCGGGTCTGACCGATTTCCTGACAGTTCTGTCAGATTTGATGAACATATTTAAAGACCTAAAAACAGCAGGGGTCAAAGGTCACAGGTTCTGGTTCTGCAGAACTCACCGCTCGTCAGCTGCTGTCCGAACACCGGCGGGTCCTTGTAGGTGGAGCAGTTCCAGCGCTCCAGTCTGAACTGGTTCTGACACTCGGACACGGCGAGCCGAGCTCCGTCCAGAACGCTGGGCAGCAGGAAGGACTTCCTGCCGCACAGCTCCCTCTGCCGCGGGCTCAGGGGCAGCTGGTCGCAGCCGGGCCGGGCCGGGGGGCCGGAGGAGGTCACACCGAGCCACCTGTCAGRGGAGGGGGGTCTGTTAGAGGTCAAACCAGCTTCTGGTTCGGTTACTTTAAAGGGCAGCGCCCTCGTTTTTAGATTTAAACCAGGGAGGTTCTCTGGTGGAGACAGAGTGTTGCAGATTTAATCCTCTCAGTGATTTATTGATTGATGATTCTTTATTGATCCCAAGGGGAAATTACAGTTCAGAACAGCCGTTCACAAGACAGAACATAAACCAACAGAACAGGTGTCCTCAGGTCATGCAGCCATAGACCCTGCACAGAACAAGGATCATCATCATGAGGGGGTGCAACCCTTAAAAGAAAAACTAAAAACCACACAAGGATAGATGAGGAAAAATAAACAAAACATCACATTAAATAAATTAAATGTGACACACTGTGGTGTTTATAAAAAAAACTCTGCAAGCAAGAGCGCCTTTATTAGCCAGAGAAGTGAGTTTAGGGGGCATGGATCTGAAGCCATGAGTGTTGTATGTACTTGTGTGAATATCTGAAGAATGAGTCTGAAGAATCTAGTCCCCAAACCCCGCCCAGCCATTGTTCAGAATAATGATGCTGATTGTTCATTCTGTGCAGCTTCAGGTTGTCCTTCAGGAACCAGATTACAGACGGGAGTGAGAGGGGGGAGAGGTGGGGGCAGAGCCACAAGTCAACGCAAAYACCAGGAGAATTTAGATCCAAGCCCTTCAAGGCCATGTGGGGGAGAGTCGAATTAGTAGTCAGTTGTTTGGGAACAGAAGAAAAGGTTTTGGGTCAGACAGAAAATAATAATTTTCTATCTGCCTTCATGTCTGCTGGTACATCTTAATGTGTTGAACCCAATCAGACAAATAATGTGGACAACCCCGCCGAGCTGAGCTCTCAGCTTCTCCAAGATCAATTCCATCTCACCATCAAAGTCCAGGAACCACATCCAGCCCACAACCCTCAGCAGAACCACTTACAGACCAAGTCCAGCTTAGCTCCGAGGTTTGAAACAATGCAAGCTTTTTGTTTTTAGTTTAGATCTTTTTGAAACTATTGTCCTTTTCAGTTTCCCTGTTCTTTGTCTTTTGGGAGTCTCTCTGCAGAGGCGAACATGTCAGACCACAACTGCAACCTGTCGGCTCTCAGAGAGGCTTGTGATGAAGATGTTGTTGAAGATTATGGAGTCAGGCAAGGACACCTTTGACTCTACATCCAAGGAAGTAAAGGTTCACCATCGAAGTAAACAAGGTCCTGTCAGAGCTCCAAGTCACAGTTAATCACCTTAAAAAGAAAATGGAATGCTCAAGACCTCCTGGGAAGACCATGCACGCTACAAGAGTCCATGAAACTTTAGAGAGACGGGACTACTGGAAAAAGATGATGACCTACATGAACCCATCATCAGTGTCCTCACAAGGATGTTTCCTGTCTCTGTGGATCGGCTGCGTGACACGGAGGACACGGTTCACAGACTGGGGAAAAAATCAAGCGTCACGTCTCAGAGCGGCCATCATACAGTTCAGTGTGTGGACCATACAGGGTGAGTTTTGGAAGAAATCCATCCAACCATCCATTATCTACACCTGCTTCTTCCTTTCAGGGTCACTGGTGCCCATATCCAGCAGACACAGTGTGAGGGGCGGGGTACACCCTGGACAGGTCTCAGTCCATCACAAGGCTGGAAGAAATCCAAAGATGCAAAAGTCTGTCAAGATATCAGCTTCCAGGAGGACCTCTGTACGGAGGACAGGATCACCCGGTCCTAGCTGTGGCCACTGGTCCAGGAAGCCAGGAGCAGATCCTGACCCTGACCCTGACCCCTGAATCCTGCTCACACGGTGTGTCCTGTTTGTGTTGGTTTCAGGGGCTGTTGCCTGTTGAGTTCATCTCAGTCCTACTCATCGTTCAGGAGGTTTGTTTGGGATTTTTTGCAGTTTTTTTGTTTGTTTCATATCTTTACTATCATTAAACACTAGGGTTTAAAAAATAATGTAAGCCTATTTTTGCTTTTTTGCAAAAAAGCAAAAGGCAATTTTTTTTTGGTTTTGTTACAAGAAACACTTTCATCAAGTGAGGAGATGGTTTTGGAGACTTCCATGGGGACACCAGGTTGACTTCAGTCATCTCATTCAGTTGGTTCTGATCATGGCTTATACATCCCCAGGTTCTTGGTTGTAAACTGTAACAGGTTCTTGGTTGTAAACTGTAACAGGTTCTTGGTTGTAAACTGTAACAGGTTCTTGGTTGTAAACTGTAACAGGTTCTTGGTTGTAAACTGTAACAGGTTCTTGGT